TATATAAATAACAGATAACCCCACCCTCATAACCGCTCCGAAAAAGAGGAAACTTCCATAGCAGGGTATTAGGAAAATAACATGTCCTAGAAAATGTATCAAAACTCATGAAAAAAAAACCACTCTCATAATCCAGTTCAGTATGCGTCCAATCGTCACTACATATCGCCCCTTCCAAAACGAATTGTTCTACCTAGAGATGAGAAACGTCTTATTTACCTGATGTATTTACTATAATTTAAAAAGAATTTACTGAGAATAATAACAATTAATAATTGTAAAATAGAAATTATGTATCTATTAAACATCATTAATTGAAAAAAAGCAAATAATATGTTTATTTAATGAGCAAATACTAGAAAATAACATCCCACTAACCGTTCGAATTATAATAATAATGATGGATTATAATATCAATAGTAGTTTTTTATATTATTTAATAATTTTCATCTAAAAAACGTGTAGAATATTCATTATGGTCTTAAAAGTGATTATTTTATATATCTATAGTACCTATTTAATATAATTCGACATATTATTTACGCATTCTGCATAAACAGTATTTGTAATATTAAACAATATTGACATGACAAACCCGTGAAAACAGATGAATGGAAACCAATCTCGAAACCAAATAATTACCATATCATATAAAAAATTATAGGAATATGAACGCTTTCTAATGTGGTTTCAATATGAGGAACCCATAAAAAACCGATGAAGGGAAACCAATCTCGAAACCAATCTCGAAACCAATCTCGAAACCAGATAAATACCATATCAGGAAAAAATTACTGGATTATGCTCGGTTTTTAATGTGGTTTCAATATGGGACACCCTTAAAAAACTATGAAGGAAAACCAATCTCGAAACCAGATATAACATAATATCATAGAATTATGATTGGTTTCTTATAATGTGGTTTTAATATAGGAAACTAATAAAAACCATATGAAGGGAAATCAATCTTAAAACCAAATAGATACCCTATCTCTTAAAAAAATGATAGGATTATAATCGGTTTCTAATGTGGTTTTAATATGGGAAACTCATTAAAAACCGACGAAGGAATTTCGAAACCAGATAAATACCATATCACATAAAAAACAAAGGATTATAATCGGTTTCTAATATGGTTTTAATATGGGAAAATCATAAATAACCGATGAAGGGAAATCAATCCCGAAACCAGATAAATACCATATCACATAAAAACAGGATTATGATCGGCTTCTAATATGGTTTTAATATGGGAAACTTTAACTTGGAACGAAATACCGCCGATAGTAGTATTAGCACGTTGAATTTTTTGGTTTGTGAAGCATTGGCATTACTTAGGTTAAACCATGTGATGATTTTTACAAGCCTTGATTTTTAAAACTATTCTATATCGCCTTTTGATTAGGGTTTAAAAACTTGTTCGAGCAATTTATCCCATAATAATTGACCGCTTTACCTCTTAAGCTTGCTCATGTAAAATATTTGGGCTTCTTACTTGGCATATTTATATTCTATTAATAATGGACAGAAGGATGAGTATTGCAACTATGTTAAAAGAAATAAATTGGCTTTTAGTTCAGAATTATGTTCAGTACATGACTGATATTTATTTATCAAATAAAAATGACAGTACCATCGCATCAGATCTATTAGAAAAAATTCAATATAATTCACAATATCACAACTATAATACAAGAAACCAATCTAACTTTCATGTACGGCAAGCCATCACTAAAAGTTCCCAAAATACAATTTTTATTAAAGGTTTAAAAAATTTAATAGACTGCCTACAGAAATAAAAAAAAAAAAAAAAAACAATAAATGTATTCAAAAGTAAACTCAAACAATACTTGATAAATAAACAGAACGGATATACTTGCTTGTGATAATACTCTTTAAACCTGCCTTTTTTAAGTATTTCCCTTAATTTATTGATATTTTACCACTCGTTTTATCCGCATTTATTATAGATTATTTGTTTTGAGATCATGTACTTTATTTTAAAAAATTACTTGTTTAAAATATTATTTGATGTTATATTAATACCACTTACTATGTTTAAATTATTAATAGTTTTGTAAAGATAGGTTATAGCAACTTTTAGCCACAAAACTATTTTTGTGTTAAAGTAGATCCATACAGAGCAATGTAATTTACGAAGGCCTTCTTTAAACATATAAATAAATGACAACTTTATAATTAAAATGAAAAACACAACAAAATACCTTGGTATCATAAATGATCCAAATTTGAAATGGGCATTATATCCTACCTCTCTTTTATATAATAAAAAAGTGCTTTGTATCTGTCTTGCTGTACTTTTATTTATGGAAAGCCTGAATTGAGATATTTATTATTTGCAATAAATTTCAAAAGAAGTATAAATTTTTAAATAATTTGACATTTAAGAGCCATTCACATATCACAGTTGACATCTTGATACCTGACAGGCACAGCCAAGCATTATTTTGATTTTTGCCAAATAAAATAGCTGGTTAATTATTCTATGGGGTTGCGACAGAGAAATTTGATGGTGTTTTTGTGGCTAGGGGCGAAATAGTAGTACGCTTAATAGCACCACCATAAAAAGTCATTTTTAAGAAACTGCTTACATATTTTTCATAAATTGGCAGGCTTGGCGACTAATTTCGAATGAAAATAGCCTCCAAAATGGCTATATGGTTGTAAGTATGAAGGTCGCAACCTGCCTTAGAAATTTCAATTTTACTATTAACATCTGTTGTTTGACAGGTTGTTTATGGAATGTGAAGAATGTTAGGAATTTTGACGTCAGAAATAATTGAAATTCCTTAATTTGTTCACATAAGGAATGCATAGGTGGATTTTAAGAAAGTTGTTATTAAAGTAATTAGGATGAACTAAAATTTCTGAAAATCAATAGGGTTCTAAGTTAGAAGTAATTATTTAAGAAAATTAAAACCGCAAGTCAATTAGAACTTTCGTTCTAGAGTTATCGGCATACATACATACAGACGACCAGACGAAATTTTTTTTTTTGGATTTTCGGATTCAGAATGATCAGAAACATGAAAAAAAGTTTTAAAAAATGGGGTTCAGAAAATGTTTTCGTCTGCACGAATGCAGTACTGAGGCCCCATAGGAAGGGCCTCAGTAATAAATCACAAGAGAAATAAATTCCCAATTACGGTTCCAAATTCACCTTTGGAAACTCGGATGCCTCAAATATAACTATTCTATTTTATGCACTTGGCGTATTTAACAAAAAAAAGTCAAAATAAATGTATAAATCGATACAAATGGTGGTCCTTTCGAAAAGTGAGCCTATATTAATAAATAACTCGACGGTGTATTGAATCACAAAACAAAAAAATCTGATGTGTCCAACACATGACTTTCCTATCTAGTTATTATAGGCTTTTTCCGGTTATTTTGTACAACCTATTGCAGCATCTCTATAAATGTTTAGAGGATAAACTAAATATATACATTGTCCACATACATCTACCTCGAAACATTTTTCTATAGATATTCATTGAAAACGAAACTACTGAAAAATCTAAATTTAGCACTTTTCCATTACGGTCCATTTTAGAAAAATCATGTATAAACAAAAATTATAGAGATCGATATCGCAAACAACTTTTAGTTCAACAATTTTCATAAAAATCAGAATTTTGCACATTTTGTCAAATTTCTCGGATACGGACCATTTCAGGAAATTTTGACATAAAACAAAAATTATAGATAATAATATAAGTAACTTTTATTTAAACAATTTTCTTCTCCAAACATAAATAAAATATAAAAACGGCCTTCCATAAAGTACCCGCCTAGATGTTCCGACTTTGTTCAAAATCTTATCATTTCACGTCAGGCCGAAATAAACCTTAAGTTTAAAATTTAATGTTTTTTTCTTTATACGTTTTTGAGTTTTCTTCAAAATTCGAAATTTACACATTTTCTCAAATATCTCGAATACGGTCCATTTTAGAGAAATTATGTATAAAATAAAAATTAAAGAGAATTATATTACAAACAACTTTTATTTGAACAATTTTTATAAAAAAAATATTTTTTTTTACATTTTGTCAAATTTCTCGAATACGGACCATTTTAGGAAAATTTTGTATAAAACAAAAATTATAGATAATAATATTAAAAGTAACTTTTATTTGAACAATTTTGTTCTCCAACCATAAATAACAGATATATTCCATAAAATATAAAAATGACCACCTATAAAGTACCCCCCCAGGGGGTTCATCTAATCAGTTCATTAGACGCTGGAATAAAGCTTAAGTTTAAAATTTGGTGTTTGTTTGTGTATCGGTTCATGAGTTATGCGACCTACAGACACACAGACACACACACAGACATCATCGCGAAAATAGTCAAAACGGATTCAGGGGACCTCAAAACGTAAAAATCCGTCGAAAACTCGAAATCGAAAAAAATCATGATTCCTATACTTTCCTTATATCTGTATACAGATAGGAAAGTAATAAATAAATATATCAACAGTTACCAAGATGCGTTAGAGGTTAAATAAGACCAATCGGCTATAAATAAATAAAATTAATCACAAAATAAACGGATTTCTAATTACGATTCCAAAATAACCTTTGGAAATTCGCGTGATTCCTGGAAAGATTATTTAACAATATAAACAGAACTTTAATTACTTTAATTTTATTTCTTTACAAAATTATAATTAATATTTGAATAACCTAAACCAATTTTTGTTCATTTTTCGATCTCTTTTTGTTAAAGTTCAGATTGACGTTCTGCGGGATTGAGTGAAAACACTGCGACACTGTTTTCAAATGCAGTTTGTTTTGACTGGCGTGTTTTGGAAGAAAAGGATCGTCATTGGTTGTTATATTAAAGTGTTAAAAAAATTATTAAATACAACCTAAATTATCGACTCTATGGATAATCACATCAATTAATGTTAACAATTTGACAAGACATAATTTTTATTAATTTTATTTTTATTTATTATGATTTTTTATTTTAAGGTTTCCTGATCTATTTCTTGTATGGAATAAAAAACAGCGAAGAAAGCGAAAAAAACCAAAAGGCCAGGCAATTTAAAAAAGAACAATTTGGAAAAGAAACGACATCTTTTTAAAACAAACTTGAAAATTAAACTAGTACAAACCTAATAAAAATAGAAGAACATATTCAAATGAGTTAAATATTTATGATTTAACTTACTCTGTTCCTGATAGCAGTGTCAATTTAAAACAGAGTTGAATAACTTTTTTTATAAATGTCTATATTTGTGCTAGTCATAAAAATGCCTACAAATAAAAATATAGCTTGAATCGTAAAACATGCAGAAGAAGAGGAATACAAAATTTACCTGTGACTAGAAACAGCCGAAAGTGCAATTAAATGGACGGAAGGACACAATTCGCTTAATTTTATACATTACAGATAATCAAAACAGTTAATGTTTTGTTATGCTGTAAGATATTAATCTCGAAGTTTTTATATGCATAAATAAAATTACATTTTTGCCTAAAAAGAGGTAATTTTCAATCAAGTACAAAAAGCAGACAGTAGTTTCTTGTAAATATAAATGGATAAGCTAAAATTAAATTCACATCATAAATAAAAATACAGGAAAATTTACTATATTGTTTTACTAGTATCGTTTTTTATTGTATTGTATAATTTTCATATATTCACACTTACTATTTGATCTGTCGCCACTGAAATTAATTGGTTAGGTATTACAAAACATTGCTTATTTAGTTATTTTTTTCTTATCATTTTGACGGCTGGTTCGGTAAAATATAGGGTTTTAAATTAGGTGTAACTAATTACTACAAAATATTCTTTTTATCAAAAATTACCTTACTGTAAAATAGTGTAAATAATAATTTAAGTATAAAATTAGATACAATTTTGTTGTGTACATAATAATGACAAATCGTTTTAAAAAAATAATGGACAGAATTTTAAAATTTATAGACTTTTTCAATACTCAATGAGTGTAGCTACGCATGTTTTTTTATAAATTGATGTGATAGAAAATATATGTAGTTTTTTAATAAAATCCGAAATTTAAAAGTTTTTTATTTTTGTTTTTCAACGATTAAGTACAAACCATGGAGGCACAGTAGGGGAAGGAGATGACATACCATATAACTGCCATACAACTATTCAAACTAATGTGGTAGAATCCGTTTCACAAGAGAAGAATACACCTGAAGTTGCAGTCGTATGCGCGAACGTGTCGTCATAACCAGCGCCATGTTGTAAATTTGATGTTTGAACTTTAAATCAGTAGCATAACCATTTCAAATTTAATTCCTAAATAAATATAAATATGAAAATGGTGGTGTCATTTTCACCAGTTTTAATGCAAATGTAATAAAAAAATGCAATTTGCAAATCTCTTATAGACTCTATTGAATATGTAAAATAGATAGGAATGATAACTTTTATGTGTTTTTATGGCAAAAATCATTCAAATGGTCAATAAATGTGCTATTGAATTAGGGGGTGGAAATTGAGGATAGGGGTGAAAATTCAACCCTTAGAGTTTTTTATATCTCGGAAACGAAGCAAAATGCAGGTATAGTTATTACGAAATTTTTTGTAAATGCAATTATAAGAAAAAATAATTAAATAGCAGAAGATCCATTTATTGCGTATAATTGCTTTCTGAGCGAGGCAAAATTCATACTGTTAATATAATAATTATAACAATACGATTATTTCACATCAAATTATTTAATTTTTTTATGTAAAAAATATAAAAAAAAGAATTTAATACGCAAAAAAATCATTTTTTTTACTTTTTTGCTTATTGAGTAGAGGTAGGTGCAGGCATTACTTCATACAATAAAAAGTATATTAAATTTCTTTTAAAATCTTGGGTTATAAATGTTTTTCAGATAAAAATGGACTAGCTAAGATATTGAACTCTTAGGAAATACAGTTCATCAAATTTCTAGAGGCTTTCGACGGCTAGACAGAGAAAGCACTACTGACAGGCATCCCGACGGATTTACGCAATGAAAGTACAATCTGCGCATCAAGTATTTCACTATTTCATTCAGACGTAAATGTCAGATGTAAATTTCGCTAAAACATTTCTTTTATTTTCGTTTGTTTTTTGCTCATTACAGTTTAATAGAACCTAAGTATGGAGTTTAATAGCAAATTAAGAGGCCGCGTGATTAACAGTCAATCTCGCGAAATAATAGCCAATGTTATAGAGTTTATGAGAAGAGAAGGAAACTTTAATTCACCTTCAATACCATTTAAAAATGTAAATGATCGTCTTGCTGCAGCCACAGGAGTATCTAAAAACACTGTCGTCCGCATTTCTGGAGAGAAAAAAAGAATCGATAACCGTGAGATATCGGAATTTTCATCACCAAGAAAAACCATTAAAAAACCAAAAACAGTTAATGATATAGATGAAGCTGCACAAGAATCAAATTTTATTTTTTTATTATTAGATAGCTATTTTTTTTTTCTGAGTTGTGTTCATTTACAGGCACAATTTTTTTCCGTTTCTCCTTTTTGATTTTATATGGGGTTTCAAGTTGTTTTTGACTTATTTCGACGTAAATCACAACAACACACTTTTTTAATAAAGCAAACAAGTGTTAAGAGGTATATGTACGTGTAAACTACAATTACAAAAAATTGATATGAAACCCATGAAACCACCAACAAAAATGTAAAGCTAGCTTCCGTACTAGAACATGGTGTCATTCGTCGAGATAATTTATCGTTTTGTTTAATAGATCAAGAAATGTAAATATTCCCCTGTTATTTTTTATAAAATTATAAGAGAAATAAATTTTTTTCTAAATAGTATAGTTTATTATTTTGTAGAAAAACAAAATTTTGAAAATTTTAGTAATGTTTCAGAAACAACCGTTATTAATAATAGGTACCATTTTCCTTAATAAGGTAGAAATAAAATATAAACTATTTCCATGATTTACAAAGACCTACAAAAAAATTATAGGTATTTTCCGTTATCCTATAAAATTTATATTTTCTGACTCAATTTCAAAAGGTTGAAGGAATTCCAAAACACCTTTTATGGCATAATAATTATTTTCAATTCTACATACTATCTTTGGCTGCTTTTAAAAACGTTCTAAGAAAGTCCAATCAGACCAATTTAATCACTAAACTATTCCACACTTTTAAAATTTAATTACCTAAAAATATTAAAAACTATTTAAAATAACTTGTTTAGCAGACTGTACAATAGCTATCTTAGTCACACGTAGCGTGTTCTCTGTCTGGGCGTCGAACACCTCTAGAAATTTGATGAACTGTAATAGCCTATTACTTCAAGCTCTAAATATATCGTTTAGGTAATAAAAAAAGGTAAAAAAAAAATACAAAATAGGAACTTATAAAATTGTTTATTTTAATTTAGGAATGCATGAATAATATTGGTAACATATTGATTATTAAATGGTTTACTCAGATTACTGGCAAAAATCATTGAAAAGTTGGAACTCAAATGCCATAATATGCAACTTTAGTATTGCTTTTTAAATTTTGAAAATCAGGGAAAAATATAAATTTTTAAAACATTTCACATCCAAAAACTTCAACGAAATCTGCAGCAGACAACTGTAGTTAATCAAAGTGTAAGAACAATGAATACAAAATAGCTTAGTGATAATAAATGTTTGTTGTAATTCTTATTCAATTAACATATGTGTGAAATATTTTACAAAATTTTATACTTTTTACCCTTACTTTAAAAATTCAAACTTCCCAAATAGCATAGAGAGCCATAATTACTATTACTTTACTTTTGTAAATATGTAGTAGCTACAACTATAAATGCCTGTTTAATGTAACAATTACTTTATATTCCTAATGATACAGTCACTAATACGTAACAGTTATTCTCAGTGTGTCGCTTGTAGTTACGGTTATACAAACACCCATAACGAAGTTACAATAACGGAAAATTTACTTAAAAAATGTATTTAAAGTAATTTTTACTTTAAAGTCACCATCTTGTAGCAGCAGAAACCATAAAAGTTACTAAAATGCGACTACAAAGTAATTTTAACTAACAAGAAACAACTGCTAGTAATTGGAACTTAACTGGGTGCTTCATTATAACTTTATATTTATAGTAGCATGTTATTACTTTATTGTAACTTCGGCATAGTTGCAAAATTGACTTTATAGTCGCACTTACTTTAATTGACAATATTTTGAGTTAGAGTTACTAAAGACAAAGGCAAAATTACTTTGAAGTGGTAGTATTATCTTTCATAGTCATAACTTATAATTCGGCCATATATTTTAGGTGAAATAAGATATGCATTTTTTTTAACATAAAAAATTGATTAACTAATTAATTTTAAAATTTTTAGTGGTTTAAAATAAATTCAGCATCCGAAAAGTTGAAATTATTATCAACTTGGGACTATGTGAGTGCTTAATATCACTTTTTATTTTAATATTATTTTATTATATATTATCTTTTTTTTATGAAAAACCTAAAATTTGGGTGGCGCTTTATTTTTTCGAAGTATTTTAATATTTTACTCAGTAAACTACTATTTTTTAAACAAATATATCCCCAAATAGCTTTAAACACGCTATTATAAAAGTATAATATCATACCTACTATATTATTTTCAACTAACAAAGTCAACCACTTGCCCCGCCATCTATCATATCTTTTAAACAAGACTTTAAATAAAAATTAAATTCATACATATTTATGGTGAGTTCGGTCTACGCACTCTTTTCACTATATTCACTCCTAAAGTACCTAAGGCGTTCGGGTACGGAAGGAGTTAAAATAAAAGTTCCTCTTTGACCGTTCGGAGATGGTGGAGTGGAGTGTGGATCGGGCATGCGCATAAGGTGATTTAAATTGATAATAAGTTAATTGTGAGTGATTCTTTAGTAAATAAATTTTTTTTTGGTTCCCGTGAATATCATTAATATGGAAGAAACTTATACGGTCGTTACTGACAAGTACGATTAAATTTTAAGTACTGGTATGTCACATTGACAATTGACATTGCACTCCGAGAGTTAAAGGAGTAAAATCATATTCGCACTCCGTTTACGCCTAATTACTACACTCCACTCTGGAGTGCGCAGCCCGAACTCGCCTTTAAACGAGAGTCAGGACCACAAAGCATGTATCTTCTAGAGACCCCACGCCAATGTTAAACTTTTAAACCAAATTAGCGCCACCTTGTGTTTGGAGCTGGAACTAAAATGACAATTGACAGATGGCGGTAAATTCAAATTGTAATTTTTAGGAGTAGGTAGTAGTTTTAAATTAAATTTTAAATGATTTCCACATAAATTATTTTATAAAATAAAGTATGAAACTAGTAAGTTCGAAACTTTTATTTTACAAAATAATTTAGGTCGATTATACCAAATTTGAAGAATTAATTTGTTATAAGGGGTCTAATGTGTAGAGTTGGTTCTGCATATTTTTATTAAATAAATATAAGATATATCAATAAATAATAAAATAGAACATTCTTAAAATATGTTTAGTAATAACTTAAATAAATATTATTAGATAAAAATAAATACAAATAATAATACATATTTAACGAATAGTTACTTGGAGCAAATATATATATAATCTCAAATCTTTAAAATACCTATCAATAATTTAAATGTGAAGTAGAGACTAGGATATTACATTTTATTAACACTAAAGTTATATATTTTATAAATGTCTTTTTAACTGAGGACAAATGTAATATAGGTATTCTATTAAAAGGTGAATCCTTTTAACTATTCATTCAATGATAAACAGGTATTTTCCTTCCAAATACAGATGGTGGTATTACTCTCTTATGTGAAAAATGATTTCGGAATCTAGTCCAGTGATAAATTGATTATCAATTAGTTGTTGTACTCGTTTGTCTTTTTATGATGCAGATGCATGGTGAATATATGGTGAATCAATGAAGTTTTTCTCGAAGTTTTCAACGTAGCACCAAAATTATTGCAAAACACAGTAGGAAATAAAAAAGCGAAACATCACACTTTTGCAAATAACTAAGACGAAACTATAAACAGAAACCAAAAGCC